TACTACAATTAGAAACCTCTTGTTCCCATAAGCCTTAGTTAGGGGTCTAACCAAGTCGAGCCTCCACTGGGCGAATGACCAAGGGCTGGTTAATGGGTGCAAGTCCCCTGTAGGCTGTTTGATTGTCGGGGTGAACCTCTTACATTGGTCGCATTTCTGGACATATGCTTGTGCGTTCCTCTGCATCCGCGGCCACCAATATCCCTAAGACATGACGCGANCCCTTACTGACACCACTTTGTAAGGTCCTTCCTAGTTATATCCCATCTTTCCATCTGCTAGGTCTTGGGTATTGACCGTCACCTTTCTGAGGACCAGGTCGTCGACTTGAAATTCTCGGGTCTTGACTCTTTTGTTGTGAAGTCTGGAAACCCTTTCCTGATATTTGGTCATTCTCATGACAGCCATTTCCTTTTGTCAGATCCAAATTCAGGCCAAGTTGTTGGTTATTGCCACTTATGTCGAAGGCTTGAGTTTTTATGGTAGGGAGTCCCACTTCTAGAGGTATGACTGTCTCCATCCCGTAAGCCAGGGAGTAGGGGGTCTCCCTTGTCGAGGTCCGAGGGGTGGTCCTGTATGCCCACAGAATGTTCAACAGTTCATCCGTCCATCTTCCCTTGGCTTTTTTCAATCTCTTCTTGATCCCGTTGACGATCATTTTGTTGGAAGATTCTGTCTACCCATTGGCTTGGGGGTATACAGAGATAGAATAAAAATTACGGATCCCGAGTTGCTCGCAAAAAGATTTGAAGCGTCCGTCTGTAAATTAAGTCCCGTTATCTGATACAAGCGCTCGGGGAACCCCAAATCTAATGACTATATTTCCCCAAACAAAATTTTTAGCGTCTATGTCACGAATATGAGTCAATGGTTCTGCCTCAACCCACTTAGTGAAGTAATCCGTTACTACAATTAGAAACCTCTTGTTCCCATAAGCCTTAGTTAGGGGTCTAACCAAGTCGAGCCTCCACTGGGCGAATGACCAAGGGCTGGTTAATGGGTGCAAGTCCCCTGTAGGCTGTTTGATTGTCGGGGTGAACCTCTTACATTGGTCGCATTTCTGGACATATGCTTGTGCGTTCCTCTGCATCCGCGGCCACCAATATCCCTAAGACATGACGCGATGAGCCATGGATCGCCCCCCAGAGTGCCCTCCACATATTCCTTTGTGTACTTCGTAGAAGAGGTCTTCCACCTTATCCTCCTAGATACATAGTAGGTAAGACCCTGAGAACGACCTTCGGTACAGCTTCTGATCCGAAAAGATTCAAAATCTCGGGGCTTTATCTATACTGAAAGTGGGAAGATACTCGATGGTGATCTTGCGTGGCAGAGAAGAATCCAGTACCGAAGCTAGGCAAGCCAGGGCATCGACATGCGTGTTCTTATCTCGGGATACTTGTTTGATATCGATCTTTTCGAACTTCAGATCATAGTTGTCGCCTTGTGATGATAAGCCTTCATCCTAGGATCCCTAGTCTTAAACTCTCCGTTAACCTGGTTGACTACCAGCATAGAATCACAGTGGACGACCAAGTCCGTAACCCCCATCGCCTCGGCTAATCGAAGCCCTGAGATGAGACCCTCATACTCGGTTTCGTTATTGGATGCTTTGAATCCTAGCCGAATGGCCTGCTCGGCGACCACTCCACCTGAGCAAACTAGCAAGATATCGATTTCAGATCCTTTACTGTTGGAGGAACCGTCTACGCATAGAAGCCATGTTGGTCCTTTATCATTATTCGAGGACGTTATGCCAGGAGAGGGTAGACAGTGTGCACACCAATTTTTATGAGTAATGTTCTTATTCTTTACTACTCGGGACCCCGAGCAACTAATTCTTTCTCCTCGGTCTAGCCGAATGTTTAATTATCTTCCCTCGGCGGGGGTGTATTAAATGCTCAGGCTTTGGAACATTTATTACCTTTCACTTCCAAGTTCTCATGCATTAAATGCTGTCTCATCAAGGGAATGGTGCATTAAATACTTGTTTTCTCAAGTCGTGTGTCAGCAAGGGCATTCTGGTCTTTTTGTCTTTAATTTGACACAATACGCCATGTGCCCATTCCCCTTTGGTTGAGCCTTCTGCTTTCTTGTGTCTCCTGACATTATTTGAGTAAAACGAGATCATGATGGCTAGTCTAGCCTAGCCTAGGCTAGTGATTTGTCTATCAATAACCTCTGCAGGAGCAGAAACCCCCACGTGAATAGATACACCTCGGTGCCGAGGGACTAGCATGATTTAGGATTGATATACCCAACTGCCGATGAATACGTGTCGGTCCATGGTGGTTTGGAGATCCTTGATCCCTGTGAATAGCATCCTCGAGACAGGGAGTTGAAAACCGACGAAAACGTGTCGGGATCAGAGCGGGAGAGTCTTTATTGACGCCGAATACACGTGTCACCATTTAAAAGTGTTTGAAAATGTCCCATCACCTATTATGGAGAAAAACTCCCGTATATGTACACTGGCCTGTCAATTCTACTCCCACATCCATTGCTGCTATTCAACCATACTTTGCTGCTATTACAATGCATATGATTGATGTGATTAAGGCTTACCTTTGTTGCGTTTGAGCAATGTAAAACTGATGATTTTTTCCTTGTCGGTCAGGGCTCTGTAAAATTAATTATTTTAGAACCCAGTAAGTAGTTATAATGATTCAATAATTGTGTTTAGTAGATTAGCATCAAGTACATTGAATATAGGAGCAGTGTATAGTTTGCTATTTTCCTTCATTTTCCAATCGAGTCTTTTGTATGCCCAATCCTTTCCCCTATGCGACATGATTTGATTTCCTATTTAATGTGAGTGACGACAGGAAACATTGTTGATGGAGAAGCTCGTTGAGGGGAACTCAATTATAGTTATAGTGCTATGTATGTACATAAAAATTTTAATTTTCACACTTGCACACCTCTTTAGCAAAGAGGGCTGATCATGATCGAAGTGTTCCAGCTCTGGCATCCACTAGTTGACCCTGAAAGTTTCTGATAACCATTCTGAACGATGCTTGGTTGGGTTCAATCCTAAGCACACCATCACAATTCAGTTTCACTTAACCTTGGCTAGGTGAATTTCATGTTGTACGTCCGTCTCTATTAAGGTGCTTGCAAAAAACAGGGTAAAAACTCCCGTCTTGTGACTTTAAAAAAAATTCTTTAGAGTTTTTATCTTGAAATCCACGTTTGATACGTATCGTAATAACAAATTCAAGGAGGCCGCCATGGGCGGAGCCATGACCCCGTCAAGTTTCTAAAATTATGTTAACACCCCTCAATTTTTTGAATTATTTTGTAGACCTCTAAAACTGTGTTTTGACTTCATTTTGCATGACCTTGCAAAATTTTTTAAGTTATGATCTTTATTTTTTTATCCAAAAATATGGATTTAATACATTGTGGACTTTTAAGAGACATGATAAAATTTAGTTGTTTAATGCGATAAAATATGAACTTAAATTGTTAATTATTTGATGGATTGATCTAAAATTGTTTTACATCTACTTTCAACATATTTGCATTAATTTTCTCCCATTCTATTTTATGCAAGTCAAACTCCGACGAGATTATGCAAAATTGCAAAATAAGATGAAGCCACACAAAATGTTAGATTGAAGATTGATGATGCACAAATTGAGTTTGTACACCATCTGTCAATTGAAAAGTAAAAATGCAGCAATTGATAAGTGAGAGATAGAGACAAAAACAAAATAAGATTTTATAGTGGTTCGGTCCAGGTGACTTATGTCTATTTTGAATGGCTAGGGCCACCGAGTATTTTATTAATTCAAGTGTGTAGAGAGAGCAGAGAGTTACAAGAGGGAGAGGGGGAGATATGCTCAATTGAGTGTGATGCTCTCCAAGTGTTGGTGAGACTTACAATTTATAGTCGTCTCATAATGAATTGAGACGACTTAATGGTAATTAAATAACTAATTTAATAGTCATAACGGATTAGAGCGATTTAATAGTAATTAAATAACTGATTCAGAGGAGGTGGCGACCTCTTATCAACTGGCAAGACAGTTATAATACTCTTCATAGAACTCGGTCAAAGGATGAGGCGAGGGTTGACTTTTTTCAAGGCGGCGTGAATGAGGCTTTTGGGATAACTTTTACTCCAAGGTGGATAGGAGGATGTTCTTGAACGACCCTTACATACTCCTTTGCTGATTTAGCTCCTTGAACTTGATAAACTTGATCGGGTGTGGATCACTTTGAGTTCTGAATCTTTTGGAGTTGAACTCTTAATTTAAACTGGGATTGTAGTATGAGTTAGGTATTAAGTCCTAGCCCATCAAAGATGATGTTGAGTATAATCAGGAATTTAGGTCATGAAGCTTTTAAGTCAACCATGAGTCAAATGACACCGTAATTTATACATAATGTGAACCAATATGAAAACGAAGTGTTAGGTCGTATAGGGTAGGCTTTAAAATAAACAAAATAACAAAAGAAAATTACATCTTAATGTTAATAGAATTTATCTCATTTGACGATTAGTGTTAATAAAATATATTTTAATTTTTAGTTCATGTTAACAAAAAAATTGACTGAAATAGATTATAATTTAAAATAAAGGCCTCTTCTTATAAGAAGAATTGATTTGTGGGTCCCTCTTTATGTGTGCGTTGAGTTTTACCACATGGATTGTTATGTGTGTTTTTTCTGTGCATGTTTTATCCAAAAAAAACTATGTTCCAATCTCACATCAGTTTCTCTTTATCAGTTCTATGAGTATAAGTGGCTCATTGTCAATTCTTTTTATAAGAAGAATTGGTTTGTGGGTCTCTCTCTCTCTCTACGTGTGTTGAGCTTTATCATGTGGATTGTTGTTGTATGTGTGTTGAGCTTTATCATGTGAATTGTTGTTTAGCTTTATTGTATAGATTGTTGTTGTGTATTTTTTTGTGCATGTTTTATTTAAAAAATAAATAAATAAATAAATAAATAAATAAAGACGATAATTTAAGAGGACACTTAAGAGATTTACCCAAAACCAAAAAAAAGAAGGAAAATGTAAACGAGAATTTGATTTTCTTTTGATTTTCCGGTACCCGAGGGAATCACTGTTCTTGGTTTTCTTTCCTCCACAAATAAAAGAGTTCTGGTGGTTCAGTTACATACTTTTAGGGCAAGTCGAGTAGGATGAGGTTGCGACGGATCTGAATCCCTATTCTTGGAGCACGTGTTGAAGAAATTGGAGACTCCGACTACCTATTCAAGTACAAATTCTGTTAATCTATTATTTTCTTTCTTTTTGATTTTTTCTTTCATTTTCGGTCTATAAAAAGTTCAATAATCGATGATCACTCGATGCGTAGTGGAGTCGATTATTCGATTTATTAGCATAAGTTTGATGAATCTGACAATTGAACCGGTGATCCTTGATGCTTGATCTACTAGTTTTTTGTTGTTGATATCAGTGGGTTTCAAATTGAGGAGTCCCAGATGATCGTTTCGAGAGAATACTTGTATATTGGGTTTTGAAGAAAGATTTGAATATTGTTTGAGATAAATTTGTCTTTGTGGTATGCTTGTATTGCTCCTATAAAAAATTGTACTTGAAATTGTTTGTATAAAGAGGTCAATTTCATTTGCAAAGTTTTTCCCAGAAACCCTTGAACTATTTTTGCTTGTGAACGTTTTCAATTGCTTGTGCTCAATTTTGTTTGGTTTTGTAATGGTCATAGTCATTCCACTTGCAGATTCATGTAAAAATTATTCTTTTTAGTAGTTGAGTACCTAGACTATTCAACAGTAAGCAAAAGATTGTCGGTGAAACACTCTAGTTTGGATTGCATGCTATGTGTTAATTTTTGTGAGTCCCGTGCACAAGGCGGTCCCTTTCTAATCAATTTCAGCTGGAGAGATGAAGACGGGTTCCAGAGAAGCAAGCCCTCACTGGAGTGTATTTGACGGAGTGAAGAGTATCCGAGCAACGCCTGATGCTCTGATGGCTGAGATTAATTCTGCGATTTCTGGTTTTGAGTATACCCGAGCTACTGCTCTCCTACAGTCCCCATCTTCTTCCCTCTCAAAGAATAAGACAGCTGATGCAAATTCAACATCTCAATATGATGTTCAAATGGCTGATGAAGCTTATAAGGCGGGTTTGGCATCCTTGGCTGGAGGAAAGCTTGACGAGGCTATTCACTCTTTGAACATTGCTCTCTCCAAGTGCCCACCTGAGAAAACTTCTGCTGTTGCCAAGCTTCAATCTCTCATTTCTCTCACGTCTCAGCAACTCCAAAACCACCAAAGCACGAAAGCCAGGATCTTTCAGAAATCTTCAACTTGATTTGATTGGTACCTTTTTATCCATCAATCTAGTGTTCTTATACATTCCAATTTAGTCCCATTTCAGTATTGATTGACATTTCAAAAATCTTTCATGATGTGGGCAGACCCTTTGTATACCTATTTTATTGCAATGTCATAGATGTATGTGTAGTGGTGGGGTTTCCTGTTTTAAGGAAGAATATTGTCTCGATGTAAATGAGTTGTTTTGACCAGGCCTAAAAGAGAGCTCTTCATCATTCCCCAAAGTTGCTAGCTTTATTTGTTCCATGCGTTTAAGGACTGAGAAGCAGGTACATTATAACTAATATGAGGACATTCTGAGGTTAGCTTTACCACTTGCTAAACCCTAAAATAAACACTAAATCCTTGAGGCAACAAAGGCTGCATCAAACACAACTGAAGGGGCCATTAATTGAGATAATTGAACGAAAGTTTTCACGGAATGAGGTTCTTTCAATTGTGTTTCTGAAAGAGCTATGTTGTCTAACAGTCTTTTTGGAGAAATATTGAAGTTCATATGCTTAGATTTTGTTTAGTACAGCCAGTAGTCTTTGCATTGGTTGGTGGTAATAATGGATGCATTAGAATCTGGTAATGGAATATGGTTCTTTCAATTGTTTTCAAGGTTTATTGCCTTTACATATTGTTAAGACGCAAATAAGATGGTAACTTCCATTTTCTTGGCAATGATGTTGTGCTTCTGTTACCTTGTTTGTTTGCAGCAGCCAACTATCAGAGTTGTTTCTTCCATTCTTATGGATGGAAGGGAGATTCTTCTTGAATCTTGATAGTTGTCTTGAAAGCAGGGATATTTAATGAACTTCTTTGAGAAAGAAATATAGAAGGGTGCCATCATTTGTAAATATAGCTGGATCTAAGCATATAGAAGTTTGAACATCCGACCCAATGGTGGAAAATCTGGTTGTATTTTCTATGCACATGCATTATCAAAAGGTATGTTGCTTATTAACTTTTCGTCTGAGGAGGAACCTGTATCGAAAAATGCACAAAGAATATGAAAATGTCTTTTGCATTGGCTCTCTAATCTTCTTGTTTTTCACTTTTCTCTGCATTCTTTTGTTTGTTATGGAACATGGATTTTTTTACCGGATGAAAAGAAAATGGTAATGCATAACTCTCCGGATCGAAATGTCACGTGTTGTTTCAGGTGGATTGCCCGATCGTTACAAACAGGGTATAGTAACAACAGGCAATTCTGTCCTACTATATAGAAGTAATATAATGAGCACATAGTTGCAGGTTTTGCTACGAACCGATGAATTAATTAAGGATCAAGCCAGGCTCAGGACAAACTAATAAGCATGGGAGGGTACCACCACGGGCCTAGCCTGCTTGGTTTTATCGAATTTCCATCCAAAAAGAAAGAAAAATACAAAAAAGATGGTGCTGTCCACTCACATGGAGTTATGAAAGCCTGCACTTGCTTTCCCTCCATTTCCCATTAATAAGAGCAGCCACAATAGCACTAGTGATTAATAAACTTTTGTTACAAGCTGACCTATGAGTCATTGTCTAGCATTTACTTATGATGCCCCATGCTCCACTTTTTTAGGTGGCATTTGCATTCTGTCCTCTCTCTCTCTCTCTCTCTCACACACACACACACACACACACACACACGGTTTCAGCCAAACCAGAAGAAACTCATGAGGTTCAACCCTTCCTCAGAGTAAACAAAGATGGAATAGATTTGGGCAAACAAGAAGTAACTCATGAGGTTCTGCCCTATCTTAAAGTATACAAAGATGGAACAATAGAGAGACTTGCTGGGCCTGATGTTGTCCCAGCCGCCTTTGATCCTCAAACCGGCGTTTTATCGAAAGACATCGAAATCATGCTAGATGCCAAAGTGTCAGCCAGACTCTATCGTCCCAATCTCATAAACGATCAAACCAATAATCAAAAGCTTCCTCTCGTGGTGTACTTTCATGGTGGAGCCTTTCTCATCTGCTCTACCGGCGAACCACTGTATCACACTTTCTCAACATACTAGTTGCTGCAGCAAACATCATAGTTGTCTCCGTGAACTATAGAAAAGCCCCAGAGCACCCTTTTCCAACTGCGTACAATGACTCCTGGGACGTCCTTCAATGGGTGGCTTCACATGCCTACGGAGCTGGCAGTGAAGCTTAGCTTACAGACAACACCGACTTTGGCCAGGTGCTCTTGGTAGGGGATAGTGCAGGAGCAAATACTGCACACCACAGGGCTATACGGCACCAGTGTTCCAACCATGCCATAAGACTGAAGTTGGCTGGAATTGTTTTGATCCACCCATACTTTTGGGGGGTGGAACCGATTGGTTCAGAGGTTACAGACCTGGTAAGAAAATCGATGGTGGACAAGTGGTGGCAGTTTGTTTGCCCATCGAACAGAGGAAACGATGATCTGCTAATCAACCCATTCGCAAATGGGGCACCTAGTCTAGAAAGTTTGGAGTGTGATCGAGTTCTTGTGTGTGTTGCAGAGAAGGATACACTGAGGGACAGAGGGAGACTCTATTATGACTCATTGGTGAAAAGTAATTGGAAGGGAGCGGCGGAGATAATAAAGTCAGAAGAGGAGGACCATGTTTTCCACATTTTCAATCCCAATTGTGAGAAGGCTCTAAGCATGATCAAAAGCTTGGCTACTTTCATAAACCTTAAATGATGAATGCCATCAAGAGTTTGAATTGTAATTTGTAATAAAATTCCACATGCAAATTTCGTAAACTTGTTCCAGTTAGTATCATTGTTTCTCAAGTGTCCTATTTATCAATCGGAATGAAGTTCATCACCTTCGGCAAGGATTGGAGAAGCCACTTCTTGCACATATTGTGAGAGGATTAAATTTGTAACTAATGCTCTGTTTGGTACGATGAAAAAGTAGAAGGATGGAAAGTTGGAAGGATAAATAAAACATCATGTTTGGTAAGGAAGGAAAGTAGGAAGGATGAAAAAGTGGATAAATTAACTTTTCTTTCAACTCACCAAAATCAATCCCTCCAAAATCGGAAGAAAAGTGGATGAAAAGTTAATTATTTGTGTTGAGATGTATCTTATTTGTCTATACTAGTTATTACATGTGCCTTAGTGTAATAAAAAATAAAAAATAATAAACATATTTGTTTTTATATCAAAAATTAAATTACAAATGTAGAGAAAAAATAAAAAAATTTAAACATCAATTTATAGTGAGGGGTGAGAGGTGGTGGGCAGTAGTGGTGGTGGTAGGAGATGATGATGGTTGCAGTGGGTGACAATGACGGTGGTGGTTGCGATGGGGGTGGCAGTGAGGGTGGTTGTGGTGGCAGCGATGGTGAGGGTGGTGATGGTGGTGGTGGTGCGGCGGTGGTGGTGGTGGGTTGGTGGCGATGGTGATGGTGGCGGAGGTGGAGGTGGTGGCTATGGCGGTGGCGGTGGTGGTAGTGGTGGGGATGGTGGTGGTAGAGGTAATAGTAGGATGGTTTCAAACACTATTATTTTTTTTTAAAATAGTCATGAGAAATAATTTTGAGAAGTACTTTTAAAAAATTATTCCAAACATATCTTTAGAGGCCTATTTTTTTTATTAAATTTAGGGTGTTAATATTAGCCGTTAGATTAACTTTAAAGTAAAATTTAAAGCGATCTCAATTGCGAATAGTAAAAGTCATTTTATTTATCTTTTGAGATTTGAATGGTAAGTTACTTTATTATATAGATATCTTATGTATACATTAATTTTATGTAAAAATATAATAACAAAATATGTATATATATTTGAAAAAAATAAAAAATAAAAAATTTAAATTTAAAAAAAATATTTTTTCCATTTTAGCTAAGGGTGAAAATTTTCGACTCAACACGATAACACGATTATACGAAAATAAATAGATCAATTCGTAACTTGACACGACACAATTAGTTAAATGAGTCAAATTAGTTTTGACTAATATTTGACATAAACTTGTAATGACTCAATACAAATCTGACACGACGACTCGACTTTATTGTCACCTTTAATTTTAGTCAACAAAGAAAAAAAAAACAGTCATTTTTTTGTTCCATCTTTTCTATCGTTCTTACTTTACATCTTCTGCCAAACAAAGCATAAGTCCACTCCTACAGCAAACTCCATTGGTGGCAACACCATTGGATAATGACCAGGTTACCTTGGACACAAGGCATCAATGTCAGACGAAAACAAATGTTTCGTACTTCCAGACAGATGCTAATTGCAACAAAACAACCAATGCTTCAACTACCTAAACAGTCTGTTCATTTGTTTTTTGAGTGGGCATCAAATCACCGAAGAGTCAATCCATCTGTCTGTTTGTTTTTGTGAAGGTTCAGTAAAATTCTCTCCTCAAGCTCGTACTTTCTGTAGTTGATTGCAATTGAGTAATAATGCCTCTTTAGGCCAGGAACTAAAGCCTGCAAAAACATCTACCACACGAACTGCGTACTCGTCCACAAATTCCTCAAGCATCAAACCCATCACTTCCATCGGAACTCTCGCTCTCCCGATAAATTCTCCCGATAAATTCTCAATCACAAAACCCTAGTTAGGTCTACACACAGTACTCATAATTTTACCAGATCATCAATACATGTGCAGATTTAAGTACCTTGTTTGACCATTTTCAAAGCAAGAAATCTCGCTCCGATGAATCGAGAGTGGGAGATTACGTCGGTGATGGCACAATGTGACTCCGGCGGCGGCGAACATACGCTGTAACCTTTCCATCTGTTGAGGACAGGAGAGAAGAGGAGTGGAAGTTTGGGAGTCTGAGAAGAAACAGGGAAGGGTGTAGACTAGTGTCTTGCGGCCCAACCCAAGAGATCAGAAAGAAGCCGAAGCCTTTCTATCTGTTTTAAAGGTCCACCTGGCATACAAATTATTTCTTGATATTAATTTTTTTTAATTTATTTTTCAATTAAAAATTAACATCTACAAACAAATCAAATAAAATATACGGCTGAAAATAAATTTTGGTACAATATTGCTTTGGTAATATAGAGTGCTATCATTCTTTCTCAGGTATCTATAGTAATATGGAGAGNCCGGATAACTGGCATCCCCTTGGTCCACTCCTTCAAAGAAGCGACCCAAGGATCTTGCTAGAATCTAGAATTCCAAAAAACGCAAAGGTTAACAAAATTATTTTGAACAATCAATGAAATTCTTTGGAATTACNTGAAAAAAATAAAAAATAAAAAATTTAAATTTAAAAAAAATATTTTTTCCATTTTAGCTAAGGGTGAAAATTTTCGACTCAACACGATAACACGATTATACGAAAATAAATAGATCAATTCGTAACTTGACACGACACAATTAGTTAAATGAGTCAAATTAATTTTGACTAATATTTGACATAAACTTGTAATGACTTAACACAAATCTGACACGACACGACTCGACTTTATTGTCACCTTTAAAACAGTCATTTTTTTGTTCCATCTTTTCTATCGTTCTTACTTTACATCTTCTGCCAAACAAAGCAAAAGTCCACTCCTACAGCAAACTCCATTGGTGGCAACACCATTGGATAATGACCAGGTTACCTTGGACACAAGGCATCAATGTCAGACGAAAACAAATGTTTCGTACTTCCAGACAGATGCTAAATGCAACAAAACAACCAATACTTCAACTACCTAAACAGTCTGTTCATTTGTTTTTTGAGTGGGCATCAAATCACCGAAGAGTCAATCCATCTGTCTGTTTGTTTTTGTGAAGGTTCAGTAAAATTCTCTCCTCAAGCTCGTACTTTCTGTAGTTGATTGCAATTGAGTAATAATGCCTCTTTAGGCCAGGAACTAAAGCCTGCAAAAACATCTACCACACGAACTGCGTACTCGTCCACAAATTCCTCAAGCATCAAACCCATCACTTCCATCGGAACTCTCGCTCTCCCGATAAATTCTCCATCACAAAACCCTAGTTAGGTCTACACACAGTACTCATAATTTTACCAGATCATCAATACATGTGCAGATTTAAGTACCTTGTTTGACCATTTTCAAAGCAAGAAATCTCGCTCCGATGAATCGAGAGTGGGAGATTACGTCGGTGATGGCACAATGTGACTCCGGCGGCGGCGAACATACGCTGTAACCTTTCCATCTGTTGAGGACAGGAGAGAAGAGGAGTGGAAGTTTGGGAGTCTGAGAAGAAACAGGGAAGGGTGTAGACTAGTGTCTTGCGGCCCAACCCAAGAGATCAGAAAGAAGCCGAAGCCTTTCTATCTGTTTTAAAGGTCCACCTGGCATACAAATTATTTCTTGATATTAATTTTTTTTAATTTATTTTTCAATTAAAAATTAACATCTACAAACAAATCAAATAAAATATACGGCTGAAAATAAATTTTGGTACAATATTGCTTTGGTAATATAGAGTGCTATCATTCTTTCTCAGGTATCTATAGTAATATGGAGAGCAGCCCAAGCAATGAACACTAGCCATGTCCTTGGCTGCCAAGGTTGGCAACACATGTTCTGGAGTTGATGCCATATATTCTGAGAATAGGTACATCGTGGAAATGGTGCACGGACCCATATAGATGGGAATGGAAACAGAATCACCTTGATATTAAACCAGATGGAGCTCACAATCTTCTTGAAAATGGGAAGATCTAAGATAGGCGGCCAACGTCTTGGAGAGAGTGAAATAAGTTGCAGGGGAGGCTAAGTGGCATTGACAGTGAGTCTCAGCAGCCCCTCTGAAAAGAATGCAGTTCACTCCCACACTAGGATGAACTAATCTATCCTTACTGCTGAGCCTAATATTGACAGCCAACCACAATTCATCATTTACAGTTAATTTGTCTCTTAGGCTTATTTTTAAACAGTTAAAAACGTAACAATTTGTTCTTTCTCGTACATTTCACCCATTTATACTTTAATTTGTAAACAGTTAAAAACGTAATAATCTATTCTTTCTCACACAATTTTATTGTTTAAAACTAACAGAAACAACCGATCATATTCAAATGACCTTGAGTCAAATTAAAAAAATAAAGGGTCAAATTGAAAAAAAAACAAAAAACCAGAAAGTCCAAGACTTCAATTGAAACAAGGGGTGAAGTGTTGGTGCTAATCATATATTTTCCCAAGTAGAAAAGATAATAGTTAATTAAAAGTTCAAATTGCAAAATTAGTAAATTGTTGTCTATCTCATATTTATGGTAAAGGTGAATGTGCAGTGATTCTTAAATACTTCAAACTTGGAAGAAACAATTCATTAAGTTGAAAGGTTGATGATGATATAGTTGTGGATAATCCGACTCAACTAAATCTCTTTGTATCTGGAAATTTCACTACTTCCTTAATGAGATAGATGTAAAAAATTAAAAACGATAATTTTATGACACTATGATTAATGCGTAAAAAAGGTATAAAAATGTGTATCTCAAAAACAACAAAAAAAAAAAGGTTTTATATATACCTGTGAATTTTATTAGTAAGTTTATTTATTGCATGATTATTGTTGCGGGAACCGTGCAGTGACTCATTATAAATAATCCTATAAACGATTTATTGGTAATTAGAAACTTCTATTCTTCTTTTGATGGGAAGGTTTATGTAATTAAGGAGGAACACCTTGGATTATTCATACAATCCAAAAATTTTAGCATTTTATTACCACTTATAATTAGTACCGGAGCTGTGTTGTTCAATGGATAAAAGTTCAACCCTTTTTCAAGATGAGTCATGTGGAGATTTAATCAAAATACTTAGCATTGATGGTGGTGGCATTAGAGGGATAATTCCTGGAATTATTCTTGGTTTTCTTGAATCGGAACCTCAGGTATACTATGCATTTGTATATGCCATGTTCTTCATTTCAATGCAATTCAGCATAAAATCATTGAAAAAACTCTGCATAAAATCATGATTTGTATGTATTTTATGATTTTCTTCCTACTTAATACTTGTCAAGTAAATACTAACTATCTAGAAATATCTCTCTCGACACATTTTCTATATATCTGTCTTCATCTAATCAAAGATGTTCATATATACCGTAGAAAACTAAATTCGACAAAAACGAGATTAGAAACCGTGAACCTTCTCTATCATCAGAGTATTGAATTTTGCATTGAGTAATACTATTTGGACCTAAAAATCTAATCTAATTTGTTGACATAATGATGTGATTTAATAAGAATCATTGGATCAACACTAAGTTTCAATGTTTGATGGGGCTTACAGTCAATCTAAAAGTCATAGTGAATTATGTCAAATTTTTAGATCCTAATAACATTGCTGGTATTGTATTTATTAAGGTAACATCAATTGGCTGCTATACCTTCCAAGTCTCCATAACTGTATAAGTCTTCCAAGTCTCCATAACTGTAAAAGTCTTCCAACATGGTAGCTAGGTTGAATTTTTCAATCTCCATTTTGTTTTGATATGTAAAAGTCTGCCAATTCTCCATAACTGTAAAAGTCTTTCACGTCTCTTTATCTTTATCACTTGAGATATCTCTAGCATCACTATCCTTATCTTCTCCATGCTTTGTGTTGAGATCATGTGCAGTATTTACATGACTAAGTGCAGCAGGTGCTGCATCATGTGAACAGAGTCCAACTGTAGGGGCTGCATCACGTGAACAGAGTCCATGTTCAGCAGCAGGTGCATCACGTGAACAGTCACATAAACAGTGTCCATGGGCTCTAATAGACACTACACATGAAAAGTTATTAAACTCTGTATTTTTTTTGAAATTTTTTTTTTTATATGTACTGATGGATTTTACTACTAAGTTTATTTATTTAGTAATTATTATTGTGGTGACCATATAGTGACTCGTTAGACCTGTAAAATAAACCCCTTCTGTGATTTTTTAATAATTAGAAATTTCTATTCTTCTGTTGATGTGCAGAGCTGTTTCCTTCAATGGAGAAAAGTTCAACCCTTTTCCAAGATGAGTCTGTAACAAGTGGAGATTTAATCAAAATGCTTAATTAGCATTAATGGTGGCGGCATTAGAGGGATAATTCATGGAATTATTCTTGCTTTTCTTGATGCTTGAATATAGTCCAAACACGAACCTTGACATTGCTGAATCTGAACCTTTTATCAAATTTGGAATCCCTCAAATACATTTTTTTTCAATTTTTCTTGATGGTAAATCACTGCAATGAGTTCTAGTAGGACCCCTTTGTAATTATTGCTTCTGCACTAATAAGCAGATTGTATCACTTGTCATACTTTTGACATCAATGCTATTTGAATTTAATTGTGTGACCTAATTTGTTGACAAATTAGCAATGTGTCCCAATATTGAATTACACCCATTTTCAATTTGATGTTTATAATGAACTAAGTTCTTAAATTAAGTATAACTAGTATTTCCCCAGATTTTAGGCTGCTATTACCCTCAACTAGCGTAGGTTCTTTGTTACTTCATGATTCATTGACTCACTGTTAAATTTTGCTCGTTTAAACAGTAGTAAATGAAGCCACCTCTATATTATATAATAATAAGCTTTTTGACCATCATAACTAATTGACAGGGGAAGAAAATTCCAACTGTACGATTGTAGACCCGATTCATAGTATTGAATTTTATATTTATTAAGGTTACATCTGCTGCGAGGTCTAAATTTGCTTTGTATCTGTCAAAGTCTTCCAATTTAATGGCAGCAATTGTCTCCACCTAATGCTGGGCCAAATAATTGTAGACTTCTTTCATATTTATCTCCCGTTTGCCTCCCCGGCTGCGGAGTAAATATCTATTACCGTGCTATTAAAGAACCATGATACTATAGTTTTAATAATAAAATATCACATATATATATAGCAAAGCCTCCACATGCATGTAGTGAATAGTTTGCGTCGATTTTCCATCTTTGATGTACATCATATATGTATTTATGTGAAACAAACTTTAACACTCTTTACACATACGATTATCACTTGCATGTGAAAGATAGACTGATTGTCCAATGTACATGTTAAAGATATAACAAAAAGTACTCATAACAATAATAAAGGGTGAATCAATCACGATGAAAGACTTACCCTAAAGTTTCATGTAGTCATTTACCATGTTAACCTAATTAATTCAAAATCAATCTTCTAGGAATGAAAAGATTCTCACATATCATATATTACGTGTTGTTTTACTAATATGTGATAAACTCTAATAGATGTGATATCACCATTATAGTGAACATGTACTTGCATCCGCGATATGCTACTGTTAGGAATAATTGTAGATTTGCAAGTGAATTAGAAACAAGGTTTTTCAAATTAATATGCAACTTTATTTCTATCATCATAAACTTTTTCACTTGAACTTAGTTATCTTTCCTATGATCTTCTTGGTTATACTACTAACCCTACATGATGACTAAGTCGCCATATTCTGGAACTCAATAAGTTAGAAAGTTCAAAGTCCCCAAGCTTGGTCACGTTTCTATGGCCTGACTTGTTCACAGTCAAGACAACGGGACACTCTATTGACTTTGTTGACGTTATAAAGACAAAGAACAGCCTATAAATAGCCTCACCTAATCAAAAGAGCAATCAAGCTTTTAGTACTTCATTTCTCTTTTGCAAGGTTCTTACAACTTCAATCTCTCTCTCCTTTCCTCCCATTTCAACAACAACAAAAACTCTCTCCTTTCCTCTCTATCGTTTTCTATTGTTTGTGGGTATACTTTTCCAAATCTTTCATGGAAAAAACTGTGTCATTTTTACAACCTCCAACTTATGGGAATGTTATCACCATTCTTAGCATTGATGGGGGTGGAATAAGAGGAATTATCCCAGGAGTAATACTTAGCTTCTTAGAGTCTGAGCTTCAGGTATAAATAATGTACAATAATTTGGATTTTTCCTGCTACTGTTACATCAATAATCTCTATCAGTATTTCCTTGTGAGAAAAAAGAACGCAAACAAAAAAAGAAGGGAATAATCACTTTCATAACATGCATGCATTTGGAGTAACGTGATTCTGTTTTTAGGCGTTATTGTTTTTGCATGATTTGGTTTTTGTTATTGTTTTTCCATTTCTTCTTGATAATTCAAAGTGAATCGGGTTTTTGTGCAGAAACTAGATGGTGAGGATGCAAGAATCGCAGACTATTTTGATGTGATTTCTGGTACAAGCACTGGCGGACTTGTGACTGCCATGCTAACTACTCCCAATGAAAAGAATCGCCCTATGTTTGCTGCCAAAGATATTAAGGAGTTCTACCTTGATCACAGTCCCAAAATTTTCCCTCAATCTCGGTAATGACCTTTTAATATTACCTCTTTCTTATTTTTTATTATACAACAGTAGATCTAGCATACTTCTAACAAGAAGGGGAAAGAAAACTGCTATGAGGCTGGTGAGACTCTACGTACACTGCCTTAGGGTCCATTGCTTCTTAACTCCGACAAATCTGCTTTAATTTGCTCTATAATGGAATATCATAAGCAATAGATTAATAACACATGTGATCTTCTTTTTTGTTAAGCAGGAATTTTCTATTTGGTCAAGTAAGAAAGGTAATCA